GTGTGACCATTCCCCCTGGGGGGGTGATTTCTCGCTTTCTGTCTCTATGTCTCTCTCTGTCTGTCTGGTGAACGCACGCGCCCTATAGCGAAAACCTATCCAAAAAAAAAAAAAAAGAAAAAATTAGAAAACTGGCATGCCGTGCAAAATCACTAGTTCTCAGGAGCCATGAAGGTGTCTTGTGAAGACCTGTTTCCTTGCTTCTCCTGGGTTGGGAGGAGGAGAGGGGATTATTAACAAGATAAAGGGAAAGGAAGGGCTGAAAGCTGAGAAGATGCTTTACCTTAAAAAAAATTTTTAAAGGAAAAAGTACCAAAAAAATTAGAAGACAGAGACAGAGGTAGAGAGAGACAGAGGCAGAGGCAGAGGAAGAGTGAAGGCTTGAGGGAGCTCCTACCACTCGAATTTGTGGGCTGGAGGCTGAATCATCAGTAGAAAATCTTCATTTCTCTTTTTCTTGAAATCACTAGTTCTCAGGAGCCATGAAAGTGTCTTGTCCAGGATGCCACTCTTCACAGAAACAGAGAAAAAAAAAATTTTTTTTTTTTTAATTCTTATGGAAACACATAAGACCCCAAACAGTTAAAAATAGTCTTTTTTTTTTTTTTTTTTTTAATTTGCCAGAGAGAGGGACTACCAGATGATGTAGCAGTTAGGTCACTGAACTCCCACGTAGTTGACTGTGGTTCAAGACTCAGACTTGGCAGCTTAAAACTCACGCTGGGCATGTGTGCATACATGCCCAAAATCCCAAGAAGAAAATGGAGGAGAAGGGATTGTGGCATGGCCATTCCGCCCTGGGGGTTGATTTCTTGTGTTCTGTCTCTCTGTCTCTCTCTGTCTCTGCCCTATAGTAAAAATCCCTCTAAAAAAATTAAAATTTAAATTAAAAAAATTTACCCAAGAGACAAAGAGAAAGCACCCCTCAATGAGGCATGGTCATGCAGCAATGTCTTCTCCATTTCCTCATCCTGTCGGGATTTGAGGCATGTGAGCACATGCATCTAGTGTGTTTTTCAAGCTATTGGAGTCAAGATTCAAGCTGTGTTGTGGGATGCATCTCCCTTATTCACTGGGCCACAGGGCTGGCCTACCAAAGCAATCTTAAGCAAAAAGAACAAAGCTAGAAGCATAATGCTACAGATTTGAAAATATAGGGCTACTCCATGTGTTGCTCAAGAGAAACTGAATCCCACATGACAGCCATGGTTAGAATTCCCAGCCTGGTCAGCCTAAAACATGCCAGGCACACATGTGAGTGCCCAAGATTCAATGAGCTGGAAGACAGGAGAAAGGTGATTATGGTATAACAAGATCCTATGGTATGACAAGAAATACTCAGTATCTCTATCTATCCTCTTAAACATAAGAGGGTGTTCCTCTCTCTTTCTCACATATGCATGCATGTGCTTAATCATTTATAAAAAGAAAAAAATTAAATATATATATAGTATATATAGTAATGTATATATATAATAATATATAGTATATTATATATATATAGTAATATATAGTATATTATATATATATAGTAATCCAAATTGGATGATACTGGCATAAAAACAGATATATGAGGCCAGCAGGTGGTGTGGCAGTTAAGAGGCTAGATCCTACATGACTGAACACATAGTTTGAATCCCAGACCTAGTAGTTTAAAAAACATGCTGAGGGACCAGCAGTTAGTGTAATGGCTATGTCGCTGGACTCCCACGTATTCGATCGCAGTTCGAGTCCTGGACCCGGTGACTTAAACTCACACCGGGTGCATGCGTGTGCGTGCCCAAGATCCCAAGAGGAGAATGGAGAAGGGAGCGGCATGGCCATCCCCCCTGGGGGGTGATTTCTCGCTTTCTATCTCTCTGTCTCTCTCTGTCTGTCTGGCGAGCACACGTGCCCTATAGCAAAAAATAAAAATAAAAAAAAATAAAAAACATGCTGAGTGCAAGTGCATGTATGCCCAAAATTCTGAGAAGAAAATGGAGAAAAAGAGATTATAATATGGGCATTTCCCCTGGGGGGTGATTTCTTACTTTTCCTCTTTCTCTCGATCTTTTCTGGCAAATGCACACACCCCACAGCAAACTAAAAAAAACCCCCCAAAACAAAACAAACAAACAAACAAACAAACAAAAAAACAGATATATCAACCAATGGAACAGAATAAAGAGCCTAAAAATAACCCTGCACATCTATGATCAATTGATTTTGGACAAAGGTGCCAAAACATACAATGGGGAAAGGATATTCTCTTCAATAAATGGTGTTGGTAGGACCAGCATGTGGTGTGGTAGTTAAGGCCCTGGATCCCACGTGGCTGACTTTGGTTCAAGTCCCAGACCCTGCGCCTTGAAAAATATGCTGGGTGCATGTGCATGTATACACAAAATTCTAAAAGACTGGAGAAGAAAAGATTGCAGTGTGGCCATCTCCTCTGGTGGGTAATTTCCCACTTTTCTTCTCTCTCTTGCAAGAACATGCACCTATGGAAAAAAATCTAAAACCAAACCAAACCCAATGGTGCAGGTCCACATACAGCAGAATTAAAATGGGAGCGAGAGATACAAGAATCAACTCAAAATGAATTAAAGACCTAAACATAAGATTAGAAGCTATGAAATCATTAGAAGAGAACACGGAGAGTGACATTGGTCCAGGCAGAGATTTCTTGCATATGAGTCCTAAAACACAGGCAATGAAAGCAAAATAGACAAATGAGATTGCATCAAACTGAAAACCTTATGTGCAGCAAGGGAAATAATAGAATGAAGAAACAACCCACAGATTAAGGGAAAACATCTGCCATTCATATACTGGATAAAGGGCTAATATCCAAAATATACAAGAAACTGAAAATACTAAATAAGAAAACAAATAAGCCTATTAAAAATAGGCAAAGAACTTGAATAGACATTCCTCAAAAGAAGATACACAAATGGCAAACAGGTATGTGAAGAAATGCTCAATATCTCTAATCAACAGAGAACTACAAATTAAAACTATGATAAGATGTCACTTCATATTGGTTAGATCGGCTAATATCAAAATGATGAAAGATAACAAGAGTGGGCAAGAATGTGGAGAAAAGGGCACCCTTATATACTGTTGGCGATATTGTGAATTAGCATAGTCATTTGGAAAAAGTATGGAGGTTCTTCGAAAACCTAAAAATAGGGGTTAGGTGTGGCACAGTGGTGATGTAGCTGGATTCACATGGGACAGTTCCTGGGCTCACTTCCTGGGGCCTCTCTTCAGCTGTACTGGAACTTTTCAGTTTGATGCAATCCCATTTGGGTATATGCACCAGTAGGTGTGGTGATCTAGGCCAGCTGAGACTGGGGTTGGACTGTAGTGAGAAGACTCTACGGGATACCTATTTCTCTCTCCCCCTCTCTTAGAATAAATAAATGGATAGATTAAAAAACAAAGACAAACTAAGCTACAAATAGAATTACCCAGGCCAGTTGGTGGTGTGGTGGTAACGAAAGTGGATCCCACGTGGCTGACTGCATAATTTGAGTCCCAGATAGGTGGTTTGAGAAACACAGGGTGTGTATGAGTACATGCCCAAAATTCTGAGAGGAGAATGGAGGAGAAGGCTATGGCAACCCTCCTGGAGGGCGCTTTTTCTCTCTCTTTCTGGTGAGTACAGTAAATTAAAAAACAAATAAATAAAAAAATAAAACTATAAAGAATTACTAATGGGGACCAGCAGTTAGCATAATGGCTATGTCACTGGATTCCCACATAGTTGACTGCGGTGCAAGTCCCAGACCCGGTGGCTTAAACTCACGCCAGGCACATGTGCATGTGTGCCCAAGATCCTGAGAGGAGAATGGAGGAGAAGGGATTGCGGCAAGGCCATCCCCCCCTGGGAGATGATTTCTTGCTTTCTATCTCTCTGTCTCTCTCTGTCCTTCTGGCAAGTGCACACGCCCTATAGCAAAAACCTCCCCTCCCTCCGTAACTGGAAGAGATATCTATATATCCATGTCTATAGTAGCACTATTCACAATGTTCAAGAAATAACAACATCTAAGTATCCACAAATAGATTTATGGATTTAAAAACATTATATGTGTATGTAATGGAATACTATTTAGCCCGTAAAAAAAACCTCAGAAATTTGGGGCAGCAGGTGGTGGTTAAGGCACTAGATTCCCACATGGCCGACTCTGTGGGTGGTGTCCCTGACTTGGTGGCTTGAAAATCATGCTGTGCAAGTGTGTGTGTGTGCCCAAAATCCCAGGAGGAGAATGGAGGAGAAGAGAATGTGCATGGACACCCCCTGGGAGCTGAGTTCTCACTTTCCCTCTGTCTCTGTCTCTCCCAAGTAAGCACATGTGCCCCGTGGCAAAAACCTAAAAAAAAGAACATTGATACATGCTACAACATGGATGAACCTTTCGCTCTCTCTTTCTCTCTCTGGCAAGTGCATGTGCCCTGCAGCAAATTAAAATAATAATAATAGTAAGCAAATAAAAATTAAAAAAAAAATTCTATATGATCCAGCAATTCTACTACTGGGTATATATCCAAAGGAAAAATAAGAAATTATGCTAGGTGAAAGCAGCCAGTCACAAAAGATAACATATTGTATCATTTCATTTATATGAAATGTTCAGAATATGAAAATTCAGGACCAACAGTGGTATGGAGGTTAAGGCAGTAGCTCAGAGGAGAATGGAGGAGAAGGCTATGGCAACCCTCCTGGAGGGCGCTTTTTCTCTCTCTTTCTGGTGAGTACAGTAAATTAAAAAACAAATAAATAAAAAAATAAAACTATAAAGAATTACTAATGGGGACCAGCAGTTAGCATAATGGCTATGTCACTGGATTCCCACATAGTTGACTGCGGTGCAAGTCCCAGACCCGGTGGCTTAAACTCACGCCAGGCACATGTGCATGTGTGCCCAAGATCCTGAGAGGAGAATGGAGGAGAAGGGATTGCGGCAAGGCCATCCCCCCCTGGGAGATGATTTCTTGCTTTCTATCTCTCTGTCTCTCTCTGTCCTTCTGGCAAGTGCACACGCCCTATAGCAAAAACCTCCCCTCCCTCCGTAACTGGAAGAGATATCTATATATCCATGTCTATAGTAGCACTATTCACAATGTTCAAGAAATAACAACATCTAAGTATCCACAAATAGATTTATGGATTTAAAAACATTATATGTGTATGTAATGGAATACTATTTAGCCCGTAAAAAAAACCTCAGAAATTTGGGGCAGCAGGTGGTGGTTAAGGCACTAGATTCCCACATGGCCGACTCTGTGGGTGGTGTCCCTGACTTGGTGGCTTGAAAATCATGCTGTGCAAGTGTGTGTGTGTGCCCAAAATCCCAGGAGGAGAATGGAGGAGAAGAGAATGTGCATGGACACCCCCTGGGAGCTGAGTTCTCACTTTCCCTCTGTCTCTGTCTCTCCCAAGTAAGCA